GTATAGGTCAATAAACCGGATGTGGAATCTATAACCTACATTTCACAGTGTTTATGTGCATCCGTTGCGAAAACCGGAGTATACTTTTGACTAGCCCGTATCAGGAAGGTCATTAATTCCTGTATTGGACAAACTGCACATAAATGGAAGGTAACTCACAATTGTCTGAACTACTCTTGTTAGACTTCATTCAAATTATATCGGTAACTAGTCTTATCTCAAATCATTGTGCCACATGGAAAACCAACACTCCTATGTTCCTATGTTCCCATGTTTCTATGGTCCTATATTCTAATTTATACCCGCACTTGTTGCTATGGCGTGTTTTTGTCAAATTTAGTCTCACCCAACTAAGTGGCTATTAAACTTATGTTATTGTTTGCAATCAGCACTAGTTGTTCACACTTGGGAGGGTCGTATTGTACCCATGAGTTGCAGTATGAAAGGAAAGCATTCAAAAGACAAATAATGAAGTGATTCCATCTCGCAATTCTTCTTATTCTCCTCTTGTTGGTCTAAATCGTGTCAGCTGCCAATGTCGTTGATGATAGCAGAATCTTATTCTACCGTCCGTCAAATAACAACCAGAACCTTGTTGGATAATGCCCTAAGGGGTTTTATCTTCATTCAGAGATTTATTCAATTTGCCATGTCTTACGCTTGAATTGAATAGTCGTGCAGGTTTGTATAAACAGCAAGTACTGAGAAAGAACCAAATATATTTTATCAGTAGACACTGAGTCCGTGTAAAAATAAACAAGGTTTTTGCTTTACAATACATTTTGATGAATATCACTAGAACTGTTATATCGAGCTCTCCTAAGAAGTCGCCGAGTAATTGGCATTCCTTTTAAAAGAAGAAATACTTTATTTTATTCAAATTTGCCACCAATTCTAACGTCGATTAGAAATAATTAGAAGGCATCGAACTAATCACTGCGGTAAGAGCCTAATTCTGATAAACTTTGACACAGTCTCGGCAAGTTCGAACGTTCCCAGTCGTCTTTTAACTGCAATCACCGTGAGTAATGAAACATTGAAACGAGTTTCAGTAGGTGAACTCACCAAAATTCATTAGGATGACTCACGGACAGCTCTAAGTCACAGCTGACCTCGTCCCATTCCGATGACTTATCCGACCAAGCGCCTTTCCATCGCGTCGGTTTACCCCATGGATCCCGTAGCCGAATAAGAATTTGCCGTGTTTCCCCACGCCTAACCTGAATTAGCAGAAAAATATTTGCCGACTCAGCTGTTTCTTTCAATATTACATGGAATTCGCACTGAGAGTATGTAAATTTGTAGATGCACAAACACACTTTAGTCAACCCTTTTCTGTCTCTCCTGACACTGTGCCAATTGTTTGCATTAAGCACAGATTCGTCACACGGCATTATTGTTAAATTCACGAAAAACGAATCACTATTGTTTTCAACAGTTCACTAAATCTTAGTAACAAGCAGTGGCTTGCAAGGATATGTTCCATCTGCAGAAACCAACAGAATTTCCGTAAAAGTGCAAATCCATTTTGATAATTCAATTTTCACTTCACCTCACTGTAAGCATCTTTGGTAGCAATGTGAAAGTTATGAAGCAGATTTTACTTTGGAGGTTTTCGACCAAAAAAAAACAATAAAAAATGATTTGATTTGTTGAATCCACGTGAAACGTTATCACACTAATCCGTTTTTTTTGGAATTCCCAGAGTTTCCATTATACTCTGTTGTTCAATTTCTATGGCGCAGAACTAGTTAGGAGTTTGACCTTAGACGGTAATACCCTGTCAACCTCTTCGTCGTTTCTAAGTTCTAAATACTTTTTCAGCCATTTGCTTGCCAACTCTGGTAAACATTTTACCCATTGCTCTCCGTTACCTAACCTCACTAGATCTCATCTTTGTGATAGGACTCACTGTATCGAATTGTTTGTCTCGAATTTATCATCATCTACACTGATCTTAACGCTGGGCTTGTGTTAGTCCCGTTCCACTACAAATATCTCTAATGCGTTTGCAGAGTTTGCTCAGGTAATTTCGGTTTTATAATCTGTCCCAGTTTCTTTCTTATGAATTTGTCAACAACTCTTTTCTGTCATATTTTCTTAATAAATTAGGTATTTATCAGAAAACAGCTTTTTCTTCTCAGTCAAACTTTACCAGTATCCATTCTTTCGGCTGTTCAGTAAGCTTATCCGATAAATACAATTCGCCCGCCAAATTCTTCCTTGATTGTTAACATGTTTTTACGCAATACTACATTTAGTTTTAAACGCGATTGAAATGTATTAGTTTAATTTTGTACATTGACCAAATGTCATTTTTAATTAAATAAGAGTTGAAGGGTACACTTATTTTAATCCGTTTCATTCCAATAATGACTCCATTCTTTGTTCAGTAAAGTTTTTAGTTTTCGCCTTAACTCCGGATTTTTCAGATCTTCCGGCGTAAATCCGTTTGGAACGTGTGGCCGTTTGGTCTAAATTACTGGATTATTCACTACTGTTCTCAATGTTTGTTCATTTTGAGTAGAAAACCAGCTTATTTTCTTTTGGGAACATTTTATTGCTCCTGCATTTGTTCAAACTTCAATAAATATGTAAATGTCAGTTTCAGGTCAATATATTACTTCCAGTCATGCGTTCATGCTTCTTAACATTAGAAATGAGAGTTATTTTTGACTCACAAACCTTTCCATTCACCTTTGGTCAGTTGTTAGCGAATTCCCTCCAGCAAGAGTTCACCTGTACCTTACGACGACTCCGGCCCTTACTCCTTGCATTACAGTAGATTTCTAACATAAAAAGCGGCTGTTCTAAGAAACACGTACTTTTGTCACTCCACTAATGATATATGCTTGGCCCGCTACCGGGCTAATATCGTTGCTCTCATTGTTTAGGCCAAACGACTGAAATTGAAACGAGAGAAAAGACGTTAGTTAAATCCGGATGACAAAGAAGCATAAAACAAGTCATTTACGTACACGTTAAATACAGGTAAGTTTTTTATTTAGCTCCCCAAGTTGAATGAATTCTCTCTCTATAACAAGCCTTTTCTGACTGCCATTTTTTGGTTTGTATTTATGAGAAAACAAAGTGGAACATTTTGTTTTCCCTCGTCCGAATTAATTTCATTTGGCGCATTTTATTAAAGCGAAATTTCTTTCGAGTGGTATACTACATTTATATGCATACTGGCAAAAATACGTGCTATATTCTGATCAGTTTAAAAGCTCACTCCTGATCTGCCTACCCTCAGTGCATGTACGTAGATTTATTCTTCCAGAGTTCATTGTAGAAATTTCCTGTACTTTGAAAAATGACGTGATTAAGCGACAGCAAAGGATTCATGATCTGTGACCGTTCTGGGTCAGTAAGTAATACAATGAACACTTTTAACCCCAGGACAGCTCAAATGGCCTCATCAGATTACGTTTATAGTTTGTTTGTTTTCTTATAGAAAAATTATCTCTCAGACAGTGTATTAATTAAATCATTGTGCAACCGGTCGATTCCGAGTGATGCGCAAGATGTCATCGAACTGCATGGGAATACGTGGGGTGCTTTTCTCATTGATGAAATAGCACTTTCATAAATAAATTGTCTCACTGGAATTCATTTCTTTTTCCCCACCTAGTTTCAAGGCAACGGATTTAAAATGTCTGTCCAACTGGTTGGGCAATTCAACAGGTTGTCACTTTGCAAGCATTGAACAAAAAACGTACTTCAGTGCAATTCAGTTAATGGGTTTGAAACACAGCACGTCTTCAAACATTAATTTATCCATCTGATACATCTGATTCAATGAGTTGCTCGATAACAGTCAACGTCGTGTTTAAATGAATACACCTAACGATTCAGCATGGATTGTCTTTGTTCCAGTATTTATACAAATTTGCTTAGAAAAGCATTAAATCTCTGATTATCAAAGGAAATTGATGTACCACTCTTTTTCCCTAGGTCTCAGATAAGGAAGTGAATGAATGAAATATACTTAGCGTTGGTTCATTTGTATGGAAGAATCAATGATAATTGAACAAAAGAAAGAATTGGGCAAAACACTTTCCCTGATTTAGCAAATGTACTGTTTAAGACATTGAAAAATAAACGGATTTTGT